AAAAAAGTATCAAGTTTGATAAAGTTACTACACGATAAACACAGGCGTAGCCCTTTATCAGTATCGAGCCATTCGAAATTATCGCGTAATCTTCATACATACACCCACACACAAACACACACACACGAAATGGAAACCTCCTTCTTTTTAAAACCTGTTACAAATGTAACAAAATGAAAAAATGACGCTACCAAAACATTTATCATACTTAAATGTTTGCAGTAAGACTTCTCGTATTACCCGAAAATAAATATTTATTTGTATGGATAATGTGACTGATACGCTAAATAATTATCCAACTGAACGACACTCATAAATACATTTTGCAAAATTACTTATTCCTGTGTTTTAGGAATTTAAATAACACGATTATATTTTATTTATATGTACAATTTGAATTTTATGAATTTACTGTATTTATCGTTTTCTATTTCGACAATTGGTAAAAAAATATATATAATAGATATATCTTAAATATATATAATATTAAATATATTAAATAAAGCCACCCCAAATGCTGATCTAATACCTACCTAAAGCAACTACTTTTATCTATCATGTATTACTTACAAATAGATGTAATAAATTTACAAAATATTTCGTATTATTTCTTAAGGCAAAATCTTTTAACAGTTATAAAGCCGACATTTTATTAGTAAATTTTTAAGTTTGAATGAAAATGAACCTATAGACCACTACACGTTTTGGGAAACTGTAAGTGTAGTGAGCAATTTATAAATAAATTACGTAGATAAGATCACAGCGCCATCTAGCACGAAATTAAGAACAAATTGTATTATATTCTGTAAATACTAGATAACTGAGGGTATACTTATTATTTCTATATAAATCTAATAAATCTATTTTTCTTTATACAACTTAGAATGGCAAACAAGCTGACGGCCCACCTGATGGAAAGTGGTAACCGTCGCCTATAGACATGAGCAGTACCATGGAAATAACAGAATATACTGTTTCGCCCAGAATACTCCCTACCTACTATTCCTGAGAACTCAGATGTTATTCCTCTGTACCCTGTAAATTCACGCCATACAAAGACACACTTGCATACACTCGCTAACAAAACTATCCTTTTTTCAGCAGTAGGTTAAAGATTAAAAATCTCCTTACACCATTATAATAGCGAACTGCTGCGACCTGTTTATTTTCCCATTTTATATTTTTCTCTTTTTATATACACAGCTAAACTTTTTCATTCTTAGCACATATATAATAAAAGTCACCGCAAATTAACCTCAAATATAACTTACGTAACTGAAAACAAAAACTCAACAAACAGCATCCATTGTTGCAAAGTAAACATAAAAACTCAGTTATATATTCCACAATGGTCCCGAACGCGTAACCCAGGTAGCGTCTTTTTTTTTCCTCACTCACTGAGAACTGGTTTTTCGCTACAACCTCTTGTCTCGGAGTTAGAACGCCTTCAAGTCATCGTCGTTTTTTTCCTTTTTAGGGTTCCGCATGTCTTGCAGTGATATTTCACCTCTCTTATGTAGGTTTGTAAGAAAATTGAAAAAGGAAGGTTAGTTTTTTGTGTATGCATTTATTCCTATCTTCGTTGATTGTGGATCGATATTAAGTGATACATTTATTCGCATAGAAATTGCTCGGTCTGATACCTGCTGCTGAATTTAATCAACTCCCCGCAACGTTAAGTACCATTTTAACCATCCGAGTGAGTGGCTGTCTTCCACCGTGCGTTTTTTAAGGCTCTATCACGCACAACTACGGTTTGGAACCAACTCCCAGCAGTAGTATTTCTTAATCGATACGACATTATAAACTTCTAAAGTGCATATACTCTAGTGTTGCGGCTGCTTATGGGCGGCAACAGTAACTTACCATCAGGTGAGCCGCATGCTTGATTTCCCACTGTGTATATAAAGAAAAAGAATTCAATTCAATTCAATTTATTGTATTGCATTCTACAATATTATTATTTTTTTATAATTTATATTAGTTAGTAATTGATATAGTAATTGGTCTACAATGTACTATACATTGTAGACCCTGTCGGGCACAGCAATTAGAAGCGAGGAGGGCGTCGATCCTTAAATTTTCATAAAGATTTCAATAATTAAATAATTCAATTTCAATTTCAATAATGTAATTAAATTCTAATTAAAATCCAAATTAATTTAATGATTGTAACAATTTTTTTTTGTTTTCATGTGTTTTATTTTAATTTAATGCAATTTAATTTAGTTGTTCATCCATATAAATTTCGTCATAATTAAAATAGCTCTCTTTTTACTTTTTTTGGAACAAAATACAGACACTATGTACTTGTATGCAACGTGTACACTGTCTTACGTATGTGTGTAGGAGGAACTTGATGTTAACATACAGTTATACTAATATGTGTAGGAGGTTCACTCCACATCTACAAGATGTCATTGACATCATTTAAAACATAAACACAATATAATAGTATATTTTATCTTTAAAACTTAAAGCTTATCTTAGTAATCTTACTAGCATAATGAAATTCTAACTAGATGGTGTCTGAACATGTTTAAGAAAATATATTACAAGGGATCTAAATAATACCATCTAGAAGTGGTCTAATTCGCTGGTTTTTTTATGGAACTTAGAATGGCAAACAAGCTGACAGCCCACCTGATGGAAAGTGGTAAACGTCGCCTATAGACATGAGCAGTACCATGGACACTTAACAACACAAAAATAGTACATTTAACCTTCGATCTTATCTGAGGGTAGTTTAAGTTTATTATAACAGAGCTAAGAATCATCAAATGCCTAAACCTAATGTTAATAAAGAAATACAGCATTAAAATTAAACTATTTGTAACTCGCAAAGTTACAATGGCACAGATTTTTTTAACCTTGTTCTTGTAATCATTTCGAAATTTAAATCTCCCTCTTTTGTATCAAGAAGTAACAACTACCAAGCCATACTCTGCACATTGTAGAATGATGTAAGTGAGAGGTCACTGAGCCCATAGGAAAAAATACTAAAATATATAGATATTTAAACAAAACATTTGATCATGAGAAAGTAGCAATTATGTTATTAAATTGATAACATAATAGGTATGTATAATCAAAAGATAACAAAGAATATTTATAAAATGATTGTGATCCCAAAAATATTATTACTGTTTTTTTTTTTCGAGTAAAAATTATCAATATGTCAGCTGTCAAATGCATCATACTGTAACGGATAAAATATAGAGAGGAGATCACGATGTTGCCAGTTTTTTTCTCATTGGAAACATTTGTAACGAATATATATAATAATACCAACTGGTGGCGTATTTTCGGAATTCGCGTAATTTTCGGAATTCAACATAATTTTCGGTATTCGTTTTCTATACTGTGCTACCCTCGGCCGCACGATATATATCGTGTTCGGGCATTTTAATCGAAATCAAATCCATGCCTTTCGGTAACAGGAAACAATTTGGCGGGGAATGGCTCAGTTAATACATTTCTAAGAACGCTGTAGCAAATTAAGAATAATACAGTTATATTTTTTATTTTTATTTCACATTTAAAATAATTTAGGTATATTTAAGAACTGTGCGGGTGTTGGACTTTTTAAAAGTAGACAAAACTTCCTTCTGTATAAAAACACCAAACTTTATACAAAAGTTTGTCTGTTTTCATAACTCTGTCCCGATCATATTTCTGCCATAAGAATTTTTTTTCCTATAATCCTTATTTTCATGTTTCTACCATAAAGCAGTCGTGTTTGGGTGGGAGTTCTTCGGTTCGAAGGTTTAAATATGGCAGTGAAATTATAGGGTACAGAGGTATCATGATGATATCAGCCGTACTGCCCACTGTTAAACATAGACCTCCCTCTTGGGAGGTTATGCCAGTAGTTGCCACGCTTGGCAATCGGGATGACAACAGCAATTGGGCTTCGGGGGTATTTTAAAAGGGGTGCTGCTGCCCATACCTCGACCATTAAGTATAACATCATATTCATCAGGAATGACAACGCATGAAGTGTAGCATGAACACCAAAATGTATTCTGTACATAATACAAATGCTGATAATCACTTCATGTAACAATGTAATTTGAAAGTTTATAATAACAATGATAAATTTGGATGCACAGTTATTAGGCAGTGCTGGGTTCACTGACCAGCTCAGCTCAGACTGAAATTTAGAAAACAACATTTCTAAATATACTCAGGTCTATATCGCTTATGACATCTGCCTGTCGTTTGGTTTGGAGCTCAAAACAATTATGAGATTGTCCGTTGTTATTCTAAACTGTCTTTTACTCGCAACGTCACACGCGTGGGTTTCAGTTGTAGGTATCTGTTCGAGCTTCATCAAATAGCAACACTGACAGCCGTAAACAGAGGGTCAACCATGAAATGTTTTCCGAAATTTCGGATCCGAACGAATACAAATTTGATGTTAAAATTGGCATTATACGGTATGTATAGGGAGACTTTGTAGAAAAGTCGTTTGCTTGGGTACCTGTTTGCATGGCTGTGTTTCGGTTTGAAGGGTGGGATATAGCGTGAATTTACAGGGTACAGAGGAATAACACCTAAGTCCTCAAGAATGACAACGCATGGGGGTATCATGAGCGAAACAGTATACTCTCTTATGTCCATGGTACTGCTCATGTATATAGGCGACGGTTACCACTTTCCATCAGGTGGGCGGTCAGCTTGTTTGCCATTCTAAGTTGTATAAAAAAAAAGTTTTTGTGTGAAAGGATAACAAAAATCAATCCATCCATTTTTAAATACTTTCACATTTATAATATATAGGATAATGGAGTGTAGTTTGAAAAATATTACTCGAAAGTTGACCATTCTAGAAATATACTCGTAAGAAAAAAAAACACTTAGCGTATAGCTTTTTTTTAGTACGTTTGTTCTGTTGTGGAACAGGCTAAGGTCGGAGACTATGCTGCCTAGTCTTCGATATGATAATTTGTCTGGAATGCGTATAGCTTATTGAATTAATATGTTCTTTTTTTTTTCAGATTACTGGACACTACGGAAACACGCGGACGCTGCCACCAGCGATAAAGAAAATTAGCTAATATTATTTAAATTAAAGTTATACAAAATATAAATTTTATAATTTTGTATAATATATTGAAGAATATTTCACTAGCATACACTGTCAAAGGGATGCAATGAAATCAAGTTTTTCCTTTTTATTAACATATATTTTATTAATATTACTAAGTGTGAATGTGATGTATTTCTAATCCGTCGCTGTCTAAGAAATAGAGAAAAGTATGTCTTTTAATTTTTACCCGACTGCCAAAAATGGGGTAATGTTTTTAAGATGTATATATGTAAGTATATGTAAACGTACATTTGAATTCTGGATCTTTGGTATAATGTATAAACTGAACGAAAGGTATTTATAGTTTTTACATGAATGGCGTGGCATGTGGAATGCTATAAATTCTTGTTAAAACTAATTCACTTTAAAGATTAAAGTCTTTTTTTTTCTCTTATTTTGCTTGCTATTTATAATTTGTATTAGTCAATTAATTTTCTATGTACATTAATCATTATTTCTTTTAGTCAAATCTTGTTTCAATCGGGCACATTACGCAAGAGGCTAAAATGAAATTAAATTAAATATTTTTTTTTTACATATTGTATATTTCGATCAACAAAATTTATCAAATGTGCCTTCCTAGAGACTAGAGATAAGGTTAAGGAATGTTCCAAAGGAATCATTATTTCAAAATATAGCTAATGATAAGTATCATTGGTGCTTGTTACTAAAAACTTTTATAAATTATTAATTTGCACGTATTGTAAATAGAGTAGTAGTAATAGTAGTATTATTTTTAAAATTTCAACAATCATTGTAATTTCTTACTTTGAATTATGTTCTGAATGGTAGAATATTCTATAGTCATTGCATATTGATTATAAAGTAATGAATTCTATGTGTATTTTAAAAACAAACAAAAAGAATAGAAATTTTCAATTAAACTGTTTTTTATGTGCTTAAGTTACTTATGAATTTATTTTTATATATTTATTTTTTTCCAACCAACAGTTTACTATCTAATATTTGTCTCCTACTGTATTTGTTACGAATTAACAATTGAAGTCAACTTTTTTTTCGTAAATAAAAAATTTCAATTGTTCATCACATGCATTAAAAGAATACTCGCCTTTTTTTCTATTTTCAAAAATTAATAGACGTTTTTTTTTATTTAATATCGTGCTGTGGATAAATTAAAAGTCTAGATGTCTGGTCTGACAAAATGAATATATTAAGTATCTATGTAGAATCTAGTCTGTGATCTCTGCAATATTATTACTCGCCTTTGTTTTGGGTGGAAACAGCTATCTCATAATCTGTCCTTAAGCATTTTAACATAGTAACATATTGGTTATAATATAGTTTTAACTGGGTAATGTAACATTTGTTTTTTTAGAAAATAAATAGGTAACTAATGTTCACTTAATTATGATTTAAAAAATAAGATAAAAATAGTTTTTTTTAAATAAAAGAAATATAAAATAAAAAGCATTCGAAACTTTGAGAATCAGTTATGAAATTAATATTGTTGTTCTCGAATGCTTTTCATTTTTTTTTTTATTTCCAGGACTCTATAAAAAATGTAATATGTTCCTGATAATATTATTTTTATTATTTTTTATTACAACTATAAACGTCTGTCTATTCATTTGACGAAATTTCTGTTCCTAGATATTATACGAGGTCTGTCCGGAAAGTTCGTATAAAAGTGTTCTGGAATGCGAGAAAGAGGAGTGGGGAGGCCAGGTAAGCGCAGGACCCCTTCCTTATGTCCCTAACAATGCTTCAGTTCTGGTCTGACCGCCGTGCGGTGCGAACTGGCTTGTCACGCCATCTGTGAAGTTACCTCTTAACGAAACCCCGTCGGCATGGAGCCCGCTTCCGTTGAAGAGCAGCGCGTCGTAATCAAGTTTCTCTCGAAACTCGGCAAGAATGGCCGTGAAATTTTTGCCGATCTCAGAACAGTTTATGGGGATGATGCTGTGAAGGAACCAACCGTCCACAAGTGGCTAAAAAGATTCAGAGAGGGCCGAGAAAGCGTTCAAGATGACCCACGTTCAGGACGTCCTTCCACTTCACATTCCGACGAAAACGTGGAAAGAATTCGAACTTGTGTTAATGGGGACCGTCGTTTAACGGTCAGACAGGTGGCTGAAGAGCTTAATTTGGGCAAAACCGTGGTCCACGAAATTCTAAGAAACGAACTTCAAATGAAAAAAATTTGCGCCAAGATCGTTCCGTGAGTTTTTGAGTAAAAATTCCATTACGGTGACCGAACACCCCCCCTATTCGCCGGATTTGGCCCCGTGTGACTTCTTCTTGTTCCCAAAAACCAAATTGGTACTTCGGGGGCGGCATTTGGGGGACATAAATGAGATAAAAAAAGCTACGACGGGGCAGCTGAGAAACCTACAACCAGAGGACTTTCAAGGAGCCTTCTCACAGTGGAAACGGCGTTGGCACAAGTGCATTATGTCACAGGGGGAGTACTTTGAAGGGGATAAAATTGATTTACCTGAATAATTGTAAAATAAAATTTTTAAAAAACTTTTATACGTACTTTCCGGACAAACCTCGTATGTCTATATTATGTAGATTAATAAATTCCTATATACAACGCCATCTGGCGGTAACTACTATACTACCAATATAGGACTCCATAGTCCGCTATATGAATGTCACGATACTAAACTATACTTCAATGGTGCAAAAAGAAAATTAATATTATTTTATGAATATCTTTATTAGGTACATAAAATTCGAAACTAAAATTTTTCTCATAATTTGGGCTCTGATATTAAATAATTTCACAGATTAAAAATATTAATAGCAACTACATTTGTAATGTTAACTATAATAATAATTTACAGGGTACAGAGGAATAACACCTGAGTCCTCAGGAATGGCAACGCATAGGGGGTGTCATGGGCGAAACAGTATACTCTGTTATATCCATGGTACTGCTCATGTCTATAGGCGACGGTTACCACTTTCCATCAGGTGGGCCGTCAGCTTGTTTGCCATTCTAAGTTGAATAAAAAAAAGTATACACTTTCCTATAGTGCTTCACTAGTGGGTGTCACACATTAGTGTCTCAGATGGTTTTTTTTTTTTTAATTATGTTCAATTGATATAGTAGCCTTCAAATGATAATTATATATATATATATATATATATATATATATATAGAAAGAGAACATTTCGGGTTTATATAACCTTCGTAAAGCTAACATCTTTATAACAGCGTTAATAGTTCCATACAAAGTATCCATTTCATACATTATCATACATGTTTATACATGTATTTTCTATCAGGTGGACTGTTAGCTTGTTTGCCATTCTAAGTTGTATAAAAAAAAATCTAATACATAATTATAGGTTTATTAGTTTTTGTATTAAAAATCTCGAATATACGATTCGAATATTGATAAATTATCTACTATATAAATTTTTTAATCAAGTTGCTGACACTCATTAACGTCCTAATAAGTACTTAAAATTGTACTAAAATCTTTATAAATAACATAATTTAATGTCACAATTTAAATAATAACATAACTCATAATTATATTATTAGGAAAATAAATTATTATTAAAGCGGGTCTCTTAAATATACCTACGTAAATTAATTACAGTTAACATTTTTAAGAGGGCCTTCCCAAAACAATGGCAACATGGTTATTATTTTATTTGTCAAGTTTTATATTTTTTCAATATTAATTAGGGTTGGGTAATATACAGCAATATCTATATATTTTAGTTACAATATCTATCTATGTACTGGTTCAATAACGAATATATTAAAAGTCTGTTATGCAAATAATTATATTGGATAAAAGAATTTCATTTACAATTTCATTTTTCATTTCATATTTAAGAGCTGAACTCTTGTCGGTGGAGCTCTTGCCACTCACTACGATTTTCAGCGAGTATCTTCACCTCTTCATACGACACTACAGCAACTTTTTCCTCGTTTTACATGATGTAACTCTGCCTTGATCTCCCCCTTCCCCTCCTTCTACTTTACCTTCCATTATAATATTCATAAGTTCGTCGTATCGTATCAAGCGTCCCAACAATATTTCCCTTCTTAACTCAGTAGTGTTTATAATAAAATAGTAATAATGTAAAACTTGACAAGCAATAATAAATCTGTTATTATTTGGAAGGATCTCTTGAAACATACGTACATAACATACATAATGTACATTTATTCTCTATGTAGCGTGAACTAAAAATAAATTATGTTTTAGGAAAACACATTTTTTATGTATATTTTTAAGTACATATTATATTAAGTAATACATATTATATTAATGAACGATACGCTTTGTGAAGGATTTGTGTTAATAAAATGTAACTACCAAGATATTTGGTTTTATTTTGCCTTGTTGACAATGAATGATGACAATTTACAACCGACTGCAAAAAGGAGGTTCTCAATTCGGTTTTTTTTATGTTTGTATACCACGTAACTCCGATAGTTTAAGTAGTTTAGTTTTTAAATCAAAATTTTATTTAGTTTTGCCACAATTGAAGTCGGTTATTTTTAACACAAACTTTCAATGATACCATACCATAGTACCATGGTGTACAAGTAAAAAAACCCTAGTAATAATAGATTAGGAAGGATAGATTCATAGAAATAGCTCACATTGCTAACAATGAACCCAATCAAGTTGACATCCACGCGGTTCTCTCAGGAAACCAACGCTTTTAATTCCTGGCGAATCTGTCACGATGGGCCACCTGACCTGACTTCATCCTCACATATCATCCCCAAACTCGCTAGCATATCTCAAAAGCTCAGGTAGAGTTACTGTTCCATATTTAAATAAAAAAAGAAATAATATATTTTACCCCAAAATAATGTTACTAGTCAACTTACTTAAGAACTTTTGCTCACCGAAGTCTCGCAATATAGCTATTAATTTTATTTATTTATTTATTATTATATATTATTATTATTTACTTCATTCTCGGCTAATTTGCCAGTTTTCTCAGACAACCCGTCCGAAGAACCTTTGGAAAAAAGAAAGCTGAGATCTCAACCCCTTTTATTGCGTGTGTGTATGCAAATATGCATACACATATATATTACTACATATATATTATTTTTATGCTTCATAGCTCTATACGTGTGTTTGCGTGTTTATTATTATTATTATATATTAATTATTTATTATTGATTAATATTTCAGTTCGTTAACAGAGCATTGTTTAATAGGCATGGGTAATGGTATGGTAACGGTTACCGATCCGTTATATAAAAAGCATAAAAAAGTAAAATTTATATCTAAAATATCTATTTTCGAATATCCAAAAAATAATACTGGATAACAGACAGTCAGATCATAAAAAAGACGAATGCAGCTCTAATAAAAAAATAAGTATGCATGTATATATGAGTCACCTCGTCTGTAATGGAATGAGTCACTTCTCTCCCCCAGTTCCCGACACTCCAGGAAGGCGTCTCACGACCGTGACTCATTGCATTTTGAGTTTAGTTAAAATGTGGTGTTTGCTTTTTTATCTCGTTTAAAAAAAATAATCGTAGAGGAGTCTGTAGTCTGTACAAAGCCTGTATTTTTATCTTTCGTCTCATTCTCGCAAAGCAACTGTATGTGGCAATTTTTTTTTTTATACAACTTAGAATGGCAAACAAGCTGACGGCCCACCTGATGGAAAGTGGTAACCGTCGCCTATAGGCATGAGCAGTACCATGGCCATAACAGAGTGTACTGTTTCGCCCATGATATCCCCCATGCGTTGCTATTCCTGAGGACTCAGGTGTTATTCCTGTGTACCCAGTAAATTCACGTCATATCCTACCCTTCAAAACGAAACACAGCCATGCAAATACAACCGCTTCACGATTGAAACACGAATAGGACAGATGTACCCAAGCAATCGACTTTTGTATGAAGTCTCCCTCTGGTAACGATTTAACGACTTAACCAAACACTATGAGATTTATATATCTATATGAGATTGTGAAGTATATAGGCTACTTTTTAGCCCAATCAGTAAACATATTCCGGTTACGCGGACAAAGTCGCGGATAAAAGCTAGCATTTAATAATTTATGAACATAAAATTAACACGCCTGCTAAGAAATGAACAGCAAAATATTTGTCTTGTAAGTAAGTTAAGATGAAGAAACGATGATTTTACCATTTTATTATTTTGTCATTAGGTAATAAAATTACATTTAATTGTTTAATTAAATATGTCAATTATTTTCTTATAATATTTATAAGTAAAACAAAAATAAATATTCCTTTTGGCAACAAGAGTTCGAACACAAGAGCATTTTGTGGATAAATATATAATTGGGAAACAAAATAATATTCGTCTGTCCAATATGTCTGTCCAATACAATCAATTATTTCGATATATAATTATAAATTGTTTTTCAAACCTATATTTTAAACATTATTATCAAATAATATTATAGATTATAGAATATTATAGATTATAGAAGATTATATGATATATTTAAAATATTGTGTTTCACGCTCTAAACCACCAGAGAGAGACTTTGTACAGAAGTCGATGGCTTGGGTACCTCTGTCCCATTCGTGTTTCTACCGAGAAGCAGGCTGTGTTTCGGTTTGAAAGGTGGGATATGGCGTGAATTTACAGGGTACAGAGGAATAACACCTGAGTCCTCAAGAATGGCAACGCATGGGGGGTATCATGGGCGAAACAGTATACTCTGTTATGTCCATGGTACTGCTCATGTCTATAGGCGACGGTTAACACTTCCCATCAAGTGGACCGTCAGCTTATTTGCCATTCTAAGTTGTATAACAAACGTTATCTTCGAAAATTCTCTATTTTATTTTTCTATATTAAATATAATTTATATCAATATGGTCATATTACTCATTATATATATCTAATACTTATTTTATTTTTAAGACAATTTTCTTGTAAGAAAATACATCCATAAATTTATCTTTGTAAGACGTTTTAGAAGAACGCCTAAAGAAAAAGTTGTAGCAAGGTACATTATTCTACACTTAAACTAAATTTATTACGAAGGCATCTTTTAACACTTAAAAAAAAACAAATTTTTAGGCTAGTTAAGGCTCCTGGTGATTTTTAAATGATTTTGCTGAATTTTACTAATATTAAAAATGTGAAAGTTTGTACATCTGTTACTCAATCACGCGTAAACAGCTAGACGGATTTCAATACAATTTAGTATACAGACTGACCATATTATTATCCTAGATACATATAATAGAAACTTTGTTTTTTTCACAAGGGTAATGCCACGTGACTAGCATTGTTTTTATATTTCATTCTATTCAACAAAAGATGGCGTATAAAATAAAAAAAGTGACGTTATTTTTAAATATATTAATATAAATAATTACTCCTCTCCTTCCAAAGGTCGCCTGGAAGAGATCGCTCTTAGCGATAAGGTCGCCCATTGTTTTCTCATTGTAATTATTTATGTTTATAATAAGTTTACTATTGTAATCTTTTGTAGGAAACAATAAAGAGTATCTATCTATCTATCTATATTGGTAGTATCTACACGTGAAAGTAGTATAACAATGTAAAATATGTAGGTGGGTAAAAAATTAATAGAGTCATTGTATGAAAGCAAAGACTACGTTTTTTAAATCAAATTAAGCCTTATAATTGTTTCTTTGTAGTTAATTCAGAAGTGTTGTTTATATTGTAAGCTACATGAAAACGTCATGCTCTACTTTTAAAACATTTATTCATTATACCAGTTTTTTAGTTAACATTATTGTCATATGTTTACAATACAACACGCGCTGGTGCCAAAGGCGACAATGCCAAATTACAGTTCATTTACAACCCATTTTTATTCAAAACGATTTAAAAATTGTTCATTTTTTATTTCAAACACAAACATAGCAATTAGGTTCAAAGGGCGAGATTTAAATTTTGAATTTGGAATGCGTGGATGAGCGATGGCGCATGCGCGTCGAGCGGGTTCTGATTGGCTATTGTTTGGAGCGCAGCTTGCACTTGCAAGAGCAAGATACATCTGGGCATCTGGGTGCATTGTTAAACTGTCGATGTAAGTATGTACTTATAAGTTTATAGGTGTATAATTAAATTAAATTTATATCCACAATTTCTTTGTATAATCATCACTATTGTTATTAATCATAAATTACAAAATATAATCGTTCTCAACTTACTAGGATGACCTCAATGTTATATTTATTGAAAAGAAAAAAATAGTTGTATTTATTTTTACAACATAGGGGGCAAACGAGCATACGGCTCACCTGATGGTAAATGACTACTGCCGCCCATGACCACCCGCAACACCAACAGCATTGCAGGTGTGCTGCTGACATTTTAAAAAGAAATATGCTCTTTTTTTTAAGGTTATGATGTCGTATCGGTTCGGAAATACTGCTGCTGAAAGTCGATTCAAAAGAGTGTTCTTTTTTTTTTATTGGATGTAAATGGAATGATATACCCGCCTGCGCTAACGGGATACGCTGGCGGGGCACCAGTGAATGGTGATCGATGAGGATGAAAACAGGCCAGTTAGCCCATCATTATGAATTCATCAGGAATTAACCATGATGTTTTCCAGGAGGAACCGCGACGAGGTCGACCTGGTTGGGTATATTGCTAGCAATAGGATTCTGTCTTCATTACTAACAATCCCTTTCCCCCCAACAGCGTGTAATATTAGCGTAAGCGAAGTTACCATTCTATTATTATCCTTTAAAAACGCGCTCCACCTGGAAACCGTCGTGGTAAGGGGGAAAGGGATTATATGTAATTAGGAAGGTTAGGCCTCATTGCTATCAATACACCTTATCAGTTCGACCTCCACGCGGTTCCCCCTGGAAACAATCGTGACTAATTTATGGGCTATATAATGGGCTAACTGACCTGTTTTTTAATTCTCACCTATCACCTCTCACTGATGTCCCGCCAGCGTATACCGATAGCGCGGGCGGGTTACCATTCCATTGTCATCCATTAAAAAAAACCGTCGTGGTAAATTCTTGTGAAATTCGCCACTGTGGGCTAACTAACCCATTCTCATCCACTATCATCTCTAATTGACTCTCACTGATAGCGTAGGTTTATAGGTTATCATTCCATTGTCATCAATTAAAAAAAATACCCGCTATAAATTGATTTTACGAAATTCATCTCTCTGTATTGGCGGGATAGATGTCGCTACAGGTCGTAAAATGAGCTTCAACCCAATTAGAATTTAATATTAATTTGTTTTATTCCACTGAAACTTATTTCCTAAGTCTTATTTTAATATATTCTGTTAGTTTATTTCTATAGAAAATAAAATATGAAGCAGAACATATTGTTGTTTTTTTTTTTCTATTTGATAATAGATGTC